GTCGAATGATGAGCAGCACCAACGCCGAGCTCTGCAGTGATACGTGCTGTTGCTTTTGACACATTTTTTATGTATGGTAGAGGGTGCCAAAGTGTTGGTGGCTCGCTCCTCTGGTTGTTCCCCATGGGCACGGATGGAGGCAGCGATTGACGCAACTGTTGGGATATCCATTCCTTGCCAGTTGGTCATGGAGATGCCGTAGTTCTCGCACTCGTCCCTCAGATGCACTGCAGTGTGCTTTTACCCTCTGAAAGAGGGCCCTAACACAGCCGCATTTATGCCCCTCTGGGTGGTTGCTGTTATATATTGAAAACAGAAGGCGATTTGTAGACAGGACGAAGGTAATGTATGTAAAACAGAAGGCTGCCTGTAGGCAGAATATCATGTTGGCAAAACAGAGGGCTTTCTGTAGGCAGGACGTGTACTGAGGACGAAGGCACAGTTCAAGTCACGAGTCATGTTGACACCGCTGTGTATACGGTGTGGAGTAAATGTCATAGGCCGAATGCTGGCCAATCAGAATAAGGACAGGGGTGAGCCCGCTAGCCAGGAGTGAGGACTGGGATGAACACGTGCCCGTGATCTTGACCAGAGTTTGACGCGCGCATCGCATCATGATGTCCCGACACTACGGACGGGCATACATAACAGTTGCCATTAAAAGCTGAGCACCTGGGTTGTGTTAATCGCCTTTCTATATACCATGGTGCTGAGTTCTTGACAAGGTCTGCGCGTGACGAGGACGTCAAGGAAAGAGAGTTGTTCAGCCTTCTCTTGTCCCTTTGTGAATTGAATGTCGGGAAAAATTCCGTTAAGCAGGTTTTGGAAGTCTGCAAGTTCGCACTGTTCAAATTGTAGCAGATTTCGTCCACGTATCGGCACCAGAATGCAAGTTGAAGTTTACTGAAGGCGGCTTTTCCAGCTATTGTAAGACCAGTTCTGCGATTAGGCTGGATATTGGGGAACCCATCGGCGTCCCTTTGAGCTGTTCATATATTCTACCAGTAAAGTTGAAAATTTTCCTTTGGCAAAAGACAAAGAGTTGCGTTAGATGGATCTCTTGATTCGTCTTATTCCTCTTCGGGTCGTTTGCGTTGAACCTCGTGTGCCAGGTCCGATGGGATATATATGAATAATAAAAATAACGTCAAAGGATACCATGGTTTAATCCAGCTGAAATTGGGAGGCCGGATTGCTTGAGGTCCTCAAGCCCTTTCGGGAAAAGGTTGATTTTCGTTTCATCCATTTGGATAGATTCTAGGTAGGACTGCCTTTCAACGCTATGATTGGCCAAAGGGGAACGTCGGCCTTGTGCATTTTGGGCAATCCGTAGAAACGGGCCAGCGCTGTAACCGTTGGCTTAGTTTTTCGCCCCCCGTCTTGCGATATCACATTGGTACGCCGGAGTCGGGTCAGGAGGCCGACAAACTGGCTGATCATCGATTATAGCCTTTGAGGAAGGCGTGGGTTTGTAGGACTTTTGGTCGTCGATGAGGGCTTACACTTACCCGTTGTAATCGTTGCGATCCATCACGACTGTTGCCTTTTCCTTGTCGGCCGGTAGCACTATCCTATCTTTGTTCATTTTCAATTTCTTTATCGCTACTTCTTCCGCGGTTAACATGCTATTTGTGGGCCTATTTGTCATTACTAGGAAGGTAACTCTCTGGCGCACGGTATGCTTTGCCTCGTCGGTTGAACTGGTTCCTACCAGCATGACTTTCAGTGTCACGATGAATTCGGCCGGCTTAGAATCCACTGTATTAAAGATGGCTTCATGACTCAGTACACGTAGTTCTTCTTCCCTTATCTACCTATACGACAGATTGTGCACGACATGTTCGTTTTTTCGATTCTGGTTTTGATATGCGGACTTTCTAGTAAAAGCTCCTGCGTATTTGTTTCTGTCTCACTATTGCCAGCGTCGATATTGTAAGCTCGAGGGAATCGGGGCAAGGGATTCGCCTAATAGTGTGCTGCATTTGGACTTCTTTTGCTCAATAACGGACCGGTACTTGTGAAATCGTAGCTGGCAGTGGTTGAACATTACTCATGTCATTTGCCTGCGGAAGCGTTGCATAACGTTTCTCGCCAATTCAGTATTCACTGGAGTTGTGTAACTTAGGCTCTGCGACGCCAGTCCGTTACTACGTAGTACATCAGCGTAGGAATCATAGCAGCCCATAGATTGTTGCTTCTCTGGTAAAGAATATCTCCAAGCAGGCAGCTGTGCAAAGTGCGCCACGCTCGAAATTCTAACGAATAGAATATGCGACTATGCGAAACCCAGGTTCCGATTGCAAAGGAGCCAAAGGCGCGATCGCTGGGACGGCAGTTGTATTAGTTTGAGCTTTCGTTCCCGTACAGAAGAGCATCATCAGAGAAAATTAG